AGGAAAGACCGAGTCCGGCAGTTGATCTGAGACTAAAATCAACCAGGCTTCCTGATGGAAAACTTATACCCTAAGCGAATTTTCTGTCTTCGCAGGATTATAGAGCGATACCAACGATTCCACTTGCCTTATTTTGCCATTTTCCTTGACTTTAAGACTGCATTTGATTTAACAGATCGCCCAACAATGCGAAAATTGCACAGAATCTGTAAAATACCTAGTACATCGTTTTCATTTTGGAAGAAATTTTCGAAGGAACTATGTTTGCTGTAGAAGTTGAAAGTGATCTACCTGCGTGGTTCCCTATTTTCTGTGGCGTTCGTTAGGGCAATGTTTTTATTCAGTACTGTTCTGGAGTTTCTTCAAAACAGTGCTAATCCTGGCGCAGAGGGCGCTGTTGTTCTACCGGTAAGGCGCAGTTGATGTCCGGCTAGGTATTTTGCAGTAGCCGGTAGGTCTGGTGTACGCAGTAATATTGTCCTGATGATAGTTCGGGGAGCCGGCTAGGTCACCTGACGACTTCCATGTGCGAAACTCGGTTGTATACATTCAGACAAGGGCAAAATACACTCATGCTGTATGCGCTCGTAAATTGTTTTTCTTCTCTCTTCTCGCATACAGATTTGCCAAAAGAGAATTCGTCAGCCCTTTTTACCACTGGTTCATTGACCAACCTTTTCGACGTTCATACTTGCTCTTTGCGACTGTTGTAATGACTAGAAGGAATACGAGTACGCGTACCATAAAATATATTTTCATACATCCCAGTCCTGTACGTCATTCGATTTTGATGAATCATTAAAATGAAGTGAATTTGCTTAGAGAATTATAACAGGGTAGCCGTTGAAAATCGGTCCTGAAATTTCCCCGTCCTGTTCTTTAATTTTGCAGCTGAACTGCGGAGTTTTTGTTTGCTGAGTTCTGACCTGTTTTTACATTTATACAGTTAGATTCAGTGCCTTTACTTCTGGTTAGCCGTTTTTGAACTTGACATAGCGTTAATATGGAAAACTTCAACTTTTGCCTTCTTGGCTTTTAGTCTTTTACTTTAAGCATTGCCAGCATTGGCGGTAAATCCG